TTTCATCTGACCGCAGCACTTTTCCCCAAGTCTTCCTTGAATCATTTAGATGTTCAATATCAAACTTAAGACGGGCCTGTGCAAGTGTCGTCTTGAGCAGTGGGACGTTGCGAGGGGTGCAAGATTTCAATCCATTACGAGTTAGTGTGTTACCAGTGGTGTTCTTGGTGACTGTGGTCCCAACTGCCTTCAGATCACTAGTAAGCTCCTCCCAGGTACTTTGGGTTGATCCACCACCTCCCTCATCGCCATCCTCACCTCATGAGACAACATCTTTCATCAAATTCAAGACTGAGGCAATTAGTGGTCATTTTATACTTGTTCAGTTTCTGAATAATCACATCAGCAGTTGTCATCACCAAACTTCTTACTGGTGGTTTTGTAGTCCATTCAGCATTGTGCAGCTCTACAACCTTGTCCCTGACATCCTATGACAGCTCTTTGGTCTTGCTCATGATGGTGGAGAGGTTGGAATAGAAGAAATTGTTTTTATGAACAGCTTTATACATATAATGAGTTGAGATCAGCAGTATTTATAATTGATTGATTAATTAATTGATGGTAATCTGTGTGTCACATGAACAAACAGCCAATCCATGGGAGCAGGAATTCTGGTTGGATTGTAACTCTTGTGTAATGAGTTTTTTTTAATGGGTTTTTGGTTTATATTTTATCGCTCTTCATTAAAATTAAACTACCATAAAATTGGAGACTATTCATCTCTTTGTAAGTGAGCAAACTTATCCATTCGGCAGGGTGAGGACATGCAACCGTTGAGAGAGCACCTGAAGTGACCTACATGGAGAGAGCCTTGAGTATGCTCGTGTAGAGGTTGGTACTAATTTGTAGACATTTAAAATATTGCACTTGACAGGAAACACTGCAAAGTTAGTGTATTCAACATAGTTCATCTTTTCCGTATGGATCAGCTGGCTTCCGGATTTATTGGTGACCTTTTTTGAGCAATTTTTCATTTACTCTATGCTTTGATAACTACGAGGAAGATAAATATTATTTTACCTAATCTAACACAAACATATAGTTTGTTCTTTTTGAAAAAGCAAATCAGGTGAAATAAAACATTTTGATGAAACTGGTATCATTTAAAAACAGGTGCAACCAACAAATAAGCGAAAAGCTGTTTGATTCGACATTTCAAAAGGGCAATCACACTCAGACAAAAAGGGCAGCGACTTTCACCCCTCCACCCAACCATAACTGCAACTTCCCATTCTGGCTCCATGGGACGAAATAACAAATGTGAGCTGACTCACAGAGGTCACGTTGTCTATGGATATTCATGTGAACCAACTTCATGTCAAAGAAGCACATTTAACTTGTAAAGATGTAACTACATCATTAAAGTCTTCTGTTTTTCTGTGCTCAACCTATGAGCACCACCATGAACACAAAAAATCCATATGCCTACTAACTGTTTAAAAGGCTCATTCAATGTTCCAGAGCTTTCCATCCAGTTATCTGAAAGTATATACTACAAAAAGAGGACTGTAAACTCAGTTGAGAGAAGCACACTTAGTGCGAGAAGCAATAAGTGAGCAGCGAAGAGCAGCACTCTAATCCTTCAGAATTAATTAGACCAGCAGGATCTTTATAATCGAAGGTAAGTTAATGTGTAGATGCAGACTTGCTGTTAGTCAATCTCCGATCTGTGCTCAGGATATCATAATGTGCACTCACACCAGTGTCATAGATTTGGAATCCAAAGTGGATCTTAGAGCAGTGATAATGAATACACAACATGTGGCACATGAGCACGAGAAAGAGTTGTATAAAATATGTAAAAGAAACTAACATGAAATTTAGAAACAATACTTTTTCAAAACACATCATTTAAAAACAAAATATATTTCCTCTTCCTTGTATAGCTGGAAAGAGTTTTGATGTGCCATTATTATCTTGAACAAAAATGTGGTGTTGGCAGTGTGTGGGCAGAGAATTGAAATTATTCTGTGATTAAAAGTTGTATTAAACTAACCCCTGGTTCAGTGAATCAGCTCACTCAGAATGGATTTATTATGTAAATATGACTGCACTGAGGTGCATTGGTGGCATTAACTGAAGGACTGGGCAAAATGTGCAGGATAAGCAGCTGTTTTTGTAACATCCATTCAATTTATTTATATAACTCGTATTCACAACAAGTATCAGCTCAAGGTTTTTTATATTGTACCATAACAATCCTAAATAATAAGGTTAAAACCACTATAATCAGAGGACCCAGTATAAGTGAGCACTTGGCAACAGTGGGAAGGAAGAACTCCTTTTTAACAAGAAGAAACCTCGCCAGAGCTAGATTCAGGGAAGCGTAGCCATCCTGTTGTGGCAGATAGCATATCCTGAAGGTAAGGAGATGGGACAAAAGACACACTGTGGAAGAGAACCAAAGTTTAATAATAATTCATGAATAAATGCAAAGTGGTGTATAACATATATACACATATTGAACCATGCATTTTCTGCTGTTTATCCAGGTCCAGGCTGTATGGACAGCAGTCTAAGCACAGACACTCAGACCTCCCTCTCCCTAACCACCTCAACTCGAGCTCTTCCAAGGATACACCAAGGCATTCCCAAGCCAGTAAGAAATAATCCTCCCATAATAATCTTTCCAGCATGCCCTAGTTGTGTCTTCCTAGGATATGTCTGAAATGGCTTACCATGGAGTGGCTGTAGTTCAGAAGGTAGAGTAGATCATCTATTAATGAGAAGGTGGTTAAGTCCCTGGCTGCTCCAGTCTGCATGCCCAAGTATCCTTGTACAAGATACCGAACCCCAAGTTATTCTTTCCAATGTGTTCAAAACTGCTTAGGCATCAATAGATCTGAATGTATGAAGTGCTTTAACAACCCAAATGTAGTAGAAAAAAGTGTCGTATAAGAACAAGTCCAGTTACCATTTGCCCAGGATTAGATGTATCAAAATTACCAATAGTTAATGGGCATTAGTGGATCTGCCAAAATACATGGTCAAAGGGATGGCGTATAGATAAAAAGGCCTTGGGAGACAGGACCATTTTAAACCAGACGTATGTGCTTTGTAAACTATAAAAACTCTCACAGGCCGATACAAGGTGGAATAATGCTCAGTGAAATGCTGGGACTACTGGTACCACAGTGCATAAATAATGAAAAGCAACAACACCAGCAGTTATTGATCAGGTATTTCATTACACAAAGCCAGAAGAGAGGATCCCGACTAAGCTGAAAAGAATTGGTAACCTCTCCTTTCCACTCCACACTGATTCAAGGGCTTCAGAAATGAATCTCTGTGCTGTTACAGTCATGAACACAGAAAACAAGCTGATGCTTGTGACAGGAGAACTCTTACCCTCCAAAGCAAAATGTCAGCTGTGCTCCAGTACCCATGCAACAATACAATTTAGTATACCAGAAAAATATGCTAAATAGTATTTGAAGAATACCTTTAGTATAGAATGGCCAGCATCCTTTTGACCATCACGTGATCCACAGTGGAAGTGCACCCCTTCTGATTAACATGCATGCCCTTTTTATTCATTTCGTTGGATAAAAGAGTAAAAGAGTCAAAGTTCAGAGCCAGTGTGAATTAGCCAGTTGAACTGGCTAATTGTGTGCATAATATGTGCAATAGTATGTTCTTAATCAGCTCTAGTACCTAATGAAAGTAAAAAATAGAATGTGCCATCTGTAATGCAGGATTTATTACTTGCCTGCTTCACCTCATATGTTCTTATTTAACCAAAAGCCCTGCAGTTAACTACTCACAGGGTTTTCCATCTATCTTCCTCTTGTCCTCTCTTTGAATTTATTTGCTTAGGCTATTGGCTCCAAATGATTGCCAACATTTCAACTGATAAACACTGTTCTACAGCCATCAATCAATACTCTCTCATTTCAGATGCTTTCTGACCACCAGTTATCCTCAATGATTCTCCTATAAATCCATGATCCATTATCCATTACCAATCTATTTATTCCTTAATCTGTATTCATTTGTTTTTATTGTTTGAGGGGTGGTTGCTAGATTTTTGTATCTACACTGCCTAGATTTCTGACTATTAGCCTGTTTTCCAACCTACCAGCTGCTGAATCTTATTTTGCTGTAGACCTCTTTAGATTGTACTTCTCAAAAACATGACTAGTAATCACTGGTGGTGACTCCTCTTTAGTAGCCACTTTAATTAGTGACTCTATCAACTTCTCTTTTTTATTTACGTGGTTTCATTAACAAGTATCATAAGCACAAAATTCAACATCATTCTTGTACAGATGAGACTAAAATGAAGCAAAAAGGGGCCTTTAGCAGCTATTGCGCTGTCTTTTAGAAATCAAAGTGTTGGCTGGTCCCAAGTTAGCTTGGGCTAATCTAAAATAAATCAGAAAAAACTGTATTGAGCTCTCTGCTGAAATATCATGGTCACCTGTCCACAAATCTCATACTCACAGCTAGAAAGGCTGGTGTACTGTGAGACAGTGCTCCTTGTTTTGCATCGAAATTTAAATTTTAGCTATTGGTTAAAAATCCTGGTGTTTATGCAGCGTATGGGATGATGCATTAACGATTCTGCTTTGTGTGCACACCAGATGCATATGCACACAATGTTCTAACATGTATGGTACCACCACATGTTGTAATTAAGAATGTGAATAATGTAGATGTTGCTCAAACTATTGTCTTAGTGTCCAAGAGCCACGGTGTTTGCGCCAGGGTGGGGCAGCTCACATGAAAGGGCATGGTCAGAAGGTGAATGCCGCCATCTTCTGGAGATAAACTGCACAACAGGTTGTGTGTCTAGCGTCTGTTCTTGTAAATTATGTAATTACAAACTTATCTCCAAAAGCATATGAGCTTTTGGAGATTTTCATATGAAATCCTGATAAATGCTACCATTCATATCAATTAATATTCTCTGTGTAGAATTTGAACTCATCATCAATGAATGTGAGCAAAACAGAAACCTTGTTAAATATTATTGACTTTCACTGCATGTCCACTGTTACCTGTTTCTTTTTTCTTTGCTGTCTCTCCTTCTCTGCATCTCTATCCTCCTCTCTCAGCCTTTGTCCTGTCACCAAAAAGTAAATGTAACAGTGAAACAGATTTTACTACCAATAAAAGGCTTATTTTAAATAACTTTATAACAATATTCTAATTGAATATGGGCTGCCGCTGGCCATTGACAGGTCACATTTCTCATTTGCCCTCTGGAGACCTGCTGGAATGTAAACACACAATGAACTTGCCACACTGCTGAAGAATGCAGAGCATCTGTGTGAATGTAGTGTAACATCATGACATCAGGAACACGGGGGATTAAAACTTGTTTAAACCTGAAGCGACTCTAACAGAAAAGTTGAGAAATAAAAGAAAATGTTAGAAAACAATACCAAAATACATTAGGCAAGGCAAGGCAAGGCAAGTTTATTTGTATAGCACAATTCAACAACAAGGTGATTCAAAGTGCTTTACAGAGACATTAGAAACAAGAACAAATAAAAAGCATGATTTAAAATTGATTAAAACAAGCAAACTAACTAACTAACTAATTAACAAACAAACAAACA